AGACTCCTAAAATTACATGGTTTCTAGTAAGTGAATTACGTTTATATTTGTCCCATAATCAAAGGATGCAGATCAAAGTTTGATTTCACAATCTTGTTGCTTCCTGAAGAGGTGTTCTCTCATGAAAATGAGGCCATTGCCTGGGTAAATTGAGAGACCAGCTCAGAAAATGATCAAAGCAATGAAAAAACTCATTTTGTAAATTATTTAAGGATGTGCAAGCACATTTTATCGACAGCCCCAAGGTCACAGCAAAGTACTGATGTATATTTTTGCCTCATGCTTTGCCATATTTTTTTTTCATTACAATGGTTTCATTTGGAGATCCATAAGGAAGAGCAGTGCTGTACCAAAGGAAGGAAAAAGGGGTTGTGCGTTTTAACCTTTAATGGAATAATTTCAGCAACTTAAATTTCCTTTTAGCTTTAATCTATTCATATGCTAAGACTGGAGGACATATTTTGGGATTGAATCTCTACCCCCAAAAAATCAATTCTTGTTTTTGAAAAGGGACTTTTGTTAGATACTGGAAGATCATGTACAAGTGCAAACAGAATTAGTAAAAATGCTATCTCTGGAATAAAAACAAAGGCTGGGTTGGGGTTGAAAGACTTCTGGGAGGGAGGCCACCAGAGCACAGTAAAAGCAAATTAACTACAGGATGTTTTCCATCCAGAGTGGATTCATCTGCTGACAATGAAAGGGGAAAAAGTTCTCTTGGTTATGGATTGGGTTTGTCTATAATTTTTAAGCAACCAAAGTACATTGTAGGGTCATATGCCCATGAGAAATATCATTACAACTAAACATTTAACTAAAGGAGAAAAAAATTGAAGTTCTGCCCATTAGGCAATACTAAGTTCTTAAAATTCTTATTATAAAAGTTGCTCGTTTAAATAATCCAGTAAGACAAATACTTTTCTTTATTTCCATGAATGGGTCAAAAGGTACAAGCAATACCTGATACTGTTCTATAGAGTTAATTCTGGGCACAGCAGAATCTTTATACCACTGCAGACATTTTTTTTAGGAAGACAATGAAAATGGGCAATGCAGATACTATAGGAAATTTTATGCCTAGGGAATCTTGTATCTATTCTGCAATTCATATATCTGAAAATTGCTAGCTATTTAAAGATTGTTAATCAGAGTTGTTCTTAATTAAAATACTTTTGAATTTTTATTTTTTTATTTTTATTTTTATTTTTAAAGATTTTATTTATT